ACACGCACACGCACACGCACACACACACGAAACACATGACGAGCAGATTCCCCGCTGACACGAGAAGCGAAGTGATATGTAAGAAACCGCAGCTAAACGCCCCCCCGCCGCTCTGTGAGAACAACACGCACGAGAAACGAGCGAGCAGCAACTACGCGCACACAACAAACGACGCCACCGATGTGGTGAGAAACGATGGCGGCCACGCCCCGGGCTGCCCGCCGCTTACCCCGCACCACCACCATGCCGCGTGAACATGCTCGCCGAACCCTCCCTGCGTGCGCGTGTGCAGCGTGTAGCGAGGAAGCAGAGAGCGGCGGAGAGCGGCGGAGGAGGTAGCATGGTGGATAAAATAATGTAAAATGGTGGTAGAGCTAAATATGTGCTGTATAGAACGTGGGCTGGCTACGTGATGGCATAGAACACAATACGTGGACCGGCTACAGTATATGATCAAGAGTAAGATAACAACCCAATATCTTAAATTAATTAGAGTAATATTATCTTACTCTTGATATGATGTATAGAACACGATATGTGGACCGGCTATATGATGTATAGAACACGATATGTGGACCGGCTATATGATGTATAGAACACGATATGTGGACCGGCTATATGATGTATAGAACACGATACGTGGACCGGCTATATGATGTATAGAACACGATACGTGGACCGGCTATATGTCACCCACCGCTTGCTTCACACATTTCACGTTGTGTTAGTACTCTGTACATACAGGCGTTGCTAGCCTAGGGGCACCCCGCACGCAGACCGCCCACACCTTATCAACACAAACACTTCGCGCGAGAAATGCTTTTTTTGGTGGGTGGGAAAGGAAACATTCGTTGCCGGCCACTCGGGAAGAGCTCCCTGTCAACGGGAAAAACGTTTTTGGGATGGGATACCGGACTTACGGCAGGGGAATATCTCAGAGGGCAACGGGTGCAGACTTCTATAACAAACTCACTATAACACCCAACACCACCCACAGTGACACCAGCACACACCCATACTCACCCACCGACCCGCTCGCCAATGTTTCCCGCGGTTTCGTCACCGTCTCAGGTGGCCTGGGGGCTCGAAACAGTAAAGGGTTATGACTATAGCTATAGTAGACGCCGCGTCTGGGTGGCTGTCAAGCAGGTGTAATGTGAACCGCGATCAGACGTATTGATCATGCATGCGTGTATGTATGTAATACTATTGATACACTCCTGATACTATACATGTATGCATGCGCTCGGCTGTGAAGTCTAGCCTGTTACAGTATTAGCATTTGCATGAACCACCGCCACCTTCCTCTCGCCCCCCTACCCGCTCTCCCTCTCTTTCTTTCTTCCCCAGTAGCTCTCTCTAGCTCTCTGCTTCTCCCCCTCCCCCATTTTTCTCTCTCTCTACCCTTGTCTTTCTCTCACCCCGTCTCTTTCTCTCTCTCTCCCTCTCACACACACTCTCTCGCTAGCCCTTCTCTCTCTCTCCCTCTCTCTCTCGCTCTCTCTCTCTGGGCTCGCGTGGGTTGGCGCGGTGCAGGGTACACATAATGTAAACTCGCGGCGAACGTGTTACATAGGCGCGCCGTAAAACAGCTGCCGCATAACGGCTGTATTATATATACACACGATGCGGTGCACGCGGCTGTGTGCTGGTTCAGAGCTTCTCCTCCTGCTGCTGCTGCTGCTGCTAATCCTCCTCTTCTTCCTCCTCCTCCTCCTCCTCCTCCTCCTCCTCCTCCTCCTCCTCCCACTTCTTCTTCTCCGCCTTATCATCCTCCTCCTTCTTCGTCTTCTTCTTCTTCTTCTTCTTCATCATCATCATCATCATCATCATCATCATCATCATCATCATCATCATCATCATCATCATCATCATCATCTTCTTCTTCTTTTTTTCTTAGTTCTCTTCCCTTCTTTCTTCCTCGTTCTCGTCCTCGTCCTCTTCCTCCTTCGTCTTCTCCAGTGAGAGATGTTGGCAACGTTGGGCAGGAACGATACCAATTTAATACTCACACGCGCGCACATACACACACACATCACATACATACACACACATCACATACATACACACACATCACATACATACACACACATCACATACATACACACACATAATACATGCAACACGCAGCAGCACCATTC